GGAGTCGCCGCGCAGAACCGCCGCCGCCGCCGCGCTGCTCACAGTCGCCGCGTCCCTCGCCTCATGCCGCTGCCGCCGCCGGCCTTCCTCCCGGACCCCGGGCGCCGGCCTCGAGCTCCCCGAATTCCTCCTCGGGCAGCGACCGCAAACACGATCTTAGTATTGTTCTCGCGCGCGCTCGGCACCCCCGCCCGCCCGCTCGCGCTCCCGCCCGCCCGCGCCGGCCGGTTAATTCCTAGGTGCACGGCCGCCGTTCGCCGAGAAACCGTGCGCGCCGGCGGGCGCGTCCCCCACCCCGAACCCCGCGCCGACTCCGCGCCGCCCGCCGCCCGCTCGCTTTTGTTCTCGGCCCGAGCTGCCCCGCGCGGTCTAGCCAATGTCCACTTGACTTCTCCCCCGCCCCGGACGCGACCCCGGCCCGGCCACGCCAGCCTTGTCCACGGACGCCCGCTGGGGAGTGGGGACAAAGGCGCCCCAGGCCTGCGGACCCGCTGCCCGGGCCCTCGCGCTGGCCACCTTGCCGGTCCCTGCCGGGCCTGCCAGTGGGCAGTGTGACCCACCGCGGGCACGCCGTCAGCGAGTCGTGGGGGGGGGATGCTTCTGGCATCTGCCTGGGGGAATCTCTGGGTGGGAGTCTCCCGACAAGGACCGACACTGACAGGTCAACTGCTATCAATCCTGGCAGCGTTTTGGAGAACGTTGTGAAGCGAGAGTCTGGCTCTGGTGGCTTCTGCATACAGTTCATTAGATCCAGAACAACGTGGTTACCCTTGTTACCCCTGAACCCCTTCGTGGGCAACTATCAAGGACATTTTGGGAGTGAGAATCTTCCTAACAGCTTCCTTTGTTGGGTGGGGGGTAAATAAAATAATTCGAGGAGTCCTTTCTGAACCAGCCTGATGCTTGAACGCTGCTTGCTTCCTCCAACATCTGAAGGCCCACCCGGTGTCATTCCTAAGTGTAGCTGACTCTCTGTAGCCTTCATGTTGTCACAAAGACTGTTGTGGTCTGTAGACCATGCTCTTCTAGGCGACCATGTCCTCTCTTCCTTTGATAGAAGATAGCTTGTGTCTCCCTCCTTGTGCTTGGGAGTTGGGTATGTGTTGACCTGGCTGTATGTTTCTGCGTCCAGGGCTTTAAAGTCTTCATACTTCCTGTGGATTGTTCGCTTTGTCAACAGTGCTTTGGCATTACTGTACTTTCCTAATGCATTTTCTTGTATTTGCATCTAGACTTCTCCCTTCCTAAAGAGTATTTACCCTTCTACACTTGGGCCACAGGTCACCTTGTCCTCTCTCCTTACCTTCTCACCCTGGTTGTGATAGGCTGTTTATGTCTTTCATTTCTAGACCCCGCATATACAGCTGTCATAGCACACCAGGTGTTTGAACCTGTAGACCAACTCCTGTGTCCTCTTAGATCGAAACCATATTCCTCTGATTACTTGCCAAGGCCCAAATAGATTTCTTTCTGAGGGGCACAGGGTAGTTGTAGCAGAGAGGAGAGCACTGGGAGGTGAAAGACTGTTACTTCGGAAGTCAGGAGACTAAGATGAGCAGGGACTGACCTGTTCATAGTCTGGGTTTAGATAGAGTATTCTGGTGGCTATTGTGGAGGTGGGTTTGAGGCTAGAGGGGTTCTCATGAGGAGAGCAAAGACAAGGGTTGAGGAGGAGGTTGGATGGCAGGTGGATAGGAAAAAATAAGTCAAAAATGATTCCCTGGCTTCTGGCCAAAGCAACAGGATGATTAGTTTTGACGAAGAAATCCACGAAGAATGAGCGAATCTGGAAGTGACATTATGAATGGTTTGAATATGTTGGGGTGTTCATGGAATTTGAGAGATATTTAGTAGGCTTCTTAGGCAGAATGTAGAGATTTGAGTGATATTAATAAACAGGTAGTAATAGAAGCCATGACAAGGATGCCCAGGAGGCTGTAGAATAGGAAAAGTAGCACTTGAGTTTGGAGCCAGGATACCCTTAACATTGAAGGGTCAGGTAGACGTTAGAGAAGCCAAGGAGATAAAGAATTTTCAGAAGGAAGGAAATTTCTAGGTAGATGCCACAGCGAGGACAAGTAAGATGTCAAAGGACTATATCCATTGAAGATGGTATTGAGAAATCACTGGTGATCTTGCTGGGAATATTTGGTGAATGGCAGCAGGAAGTCTAGAGGGCAGTGGCTTGAGAGGTGAGTGGGAGGAGAAGATGTGGAGCCAGAAATATAAACAACTTATTCCCAACAGTGGAAAAGAGTATCTGGAAAGCATGAAGGTAAAATTGCTCCATAGTGATTGTGATGGTTCAGTTGGTTTTAAGATAGCAGAGATTTGAGTTTGCAATGAGGAGAAACTGCCAACAAGGTGCTGGAAGAAAAGGCTACAAAGGGAGATAATTGATGGAGCTTGGATATTTGGAGAAAGTGGAAATTTCTCCCAGACTAGGCTTTGGTTTTGTGTCTTCAGCTGAGCCTGGCCAGACTGCTCTTCACATATCAATTGCTTGACTCTCCTGCCTTTACCAAGTTGGACTTAATAACACAGTCACTTGGGATCTCCTCTTGGGTGCCCTGTGGCTGATCGTCAGGAATCTCCTAATGTGCCTGGCTCAGAGCCCATCTGTCTCTGCAGCCAGGCTGAAGCAGCCCACCTTGTCAACACATTGCTGGTGGGATGAAGCATTGCTCTGTGGCTTGCACTGTAGATAGAGCTTTCAGAGTGGTTTCTCTGCTTTATGCAAGGACTGATGCGGTGGCTATTACAGAACAGCGCTCTATTTAAATATTTATTAGATAAGGGGTAACCCTTTAGAAATATCATTAAGATCATTAAAAGAGCTTGATGTGTTTTGTTTTTCTCAGTGTGGTCCTAAGAACTAGTCTGCTTACTATATCAATGTAGAACACATTAATTTTATTTCTGTAACTTGGAAGGATATCCTTTCAATTTTTTTTTAATTTGGTGATATCAACCTCTTTTGACCCCTTTTGATTCATCATTCTCAAATCTCTGTGAGCTAATCAAGGAGCCTATCTTTGGCTCCTTGATCTATTTTTTTCTAATCTTCACTCTTACACATCCACATGTTTTCTTGACCAGGTACTGTTTTCACCTCCTTTCATATCTTGACTGGGTATCTGAATAAAACTAATAGTGCTTTCAAGTCCTGCCTCCAAATTCACCTATTCTGTGCTGTTTAAATTTCCTAAAATGTATTCCTTTGGTGCAAATTATGAATAAGATAATACATTAAAGTACTTAGAATGGTGCCTGGCACATAGCAAGCACTCATTAAATGTTAGTTGATGTAATCTTTGTTGTTATTAATATTGTAAGGTGAAAAATATTGCAAAAAGAGAGCCAGGAAGAGCTGGTATCAGTCACTTACATTTATAACCAGCATGTTAGAAGAGTTTCCTGGATCTCCCATGAGTCCATTTCTACTACTCTTGCCACTAAAGATATCTCAGATATCTCAAAGCCAATCCTAGGCCAGCTGGTCTCACACTCCTTGAAAGAGAATCGACTATCAGAGACTGGCATCCTCTTGAAAGTCAAAGAAAATAACTACTAATATACTACTTATGGTGAGAGACAACTCCCATATCAGAGTGAGTATTAGTGGCAGCTCTAGGGTTGGCAAAAGGCACCTACATCCCCATAAAGTGTGGAGAGCTCAAAAGTGGGTCCAGGGTTCAATCCCCAGTACCCCCCCCCCAAAAAAAAGTGGGTGTCAGGTAACATTACAGGGATAGGTAAGTGACTATATTTGCAAAGTGACTATATTTGCAGCTATACCAAATAAAAATAGAGATCACCCCAGTCCTAACCCCTTTTTATATCCATTTGATGACTTCTTAGCCAGTCTCCTTGGTTGGGGTCAGGGATTGTATAATTTCATGGGTTTCAGGTTCTGTCTTGGTTACTTTCCTTTGCTGCAAATTATGAATAAGATAATATATATAAAGTACTTAGAATGGTGCCTGGCACATAGCAAGCACTCATTAAATGTGTGGGATAAAATACCCAACACCCAAAATTAGGTAAGGAAAGATTTGTTTAGCTCACAGTTTGTGGGAGTTTCAGTCCATACTCGGCTGGCTCCAAGGCAGAGTCGCACATGGCAGAGGGCAGCAGTTTGTAGTGGTGGGGAAAGCAGCAAAACAACAAAAGGGAGCCAAAAGGGAAGAGCAGCAGTAGAGAGCAAGCCTCTTTCCTTCCCTTATATAGTATTCAGGCTGTCTGCTCCAGGGCGGGTGTAATGCTCATACCCATAATCCCAGCAGAGCTCATACCTAAAATCCCAGTATTATATCTTGAATTATTCACAAACCCTAGAAGGCCACCCCATGACTACATGAGGCTTTGGGGGACATCTAAACATAAACCATAACAGGTTCCCTGTTGGCAGTTTGTGCTGGATGGAAGCTGAGTAAGCCCCACTCCAGGGTTCATATGTACCTGGATACTAGAGGTTTGGGTAGCTCAAGTGAGGGCAGAACCAAGCCTTAGTACCTTTGCAAAAACCTCTTAAGTCTAGGTTCTATTTCTCACCCTAAGCATACATACTTGTTGCCTCAATACTTCTATTCCTATTCAATGACTCTGCAGGAAAAGGGGCTGGTTATGCTTAGGCAGGCATCAAAATATGGAGGATGGTAGCCTGAGAAGGGTCCTTTCTGATTTGGTTAAGGATTTTTATCATGCCAACCAATTGGACTTGGAGCTCCCAGTGCCCTGAATTTGTATGGCAAGCATGTGGATTAAGCAGGCTGAGTAGAAGACAAGATTAATAGTGGCAGCATCTTGACCCTAGG